TTCATGTTTGTTAAAACAAATATGCTCTTAAACTCATTAATATCTCAATTGGAAATTTTGGTAGGAATATATCAGGATGGGGCAGTGTGCTTGTCTGTATTTGTGTATGGAAGGAGGGGCATATGTGGTAGGGGGCCAGTGCCCCAGTAAAGCTTTGTGCCTAGCAACGCCCCTGGATCCTGCCTTCAAATATTATTTCACTCTCAGAGCCAAACAGACCCCCGTCCATTGGCAGAGCTCTGTCTACAGGAACCCCGTTCAACAGCAGCCTCTGGCCCGGTCACGTCTTTGTGGGGTTCCGCTAGTATTCACAGCGGCTGAAAGGTGTTTTTCCTGTACGACAAAAGCGAACATAATTTGCCGGCAGATTTATACATTTTCAGTTAATTTATGCATTAAACTGTTTCAGGGGAGTGATCATAGTGATATGCATCAGCAGTGCTGTGTCTGTTTCCCTGGCAGCTCCCAGATCAGCTTCTCTGATGAGTTGATGTGGCGCATCAAGCAGCAAAACTTCAATTTTTCCAACTCCAGCACCTGCTGCTTCCGAAGCGCCTTGCATGTGTCAGATGCTCCGAAATCCATGACAAGCTGCTGCAGCTGCTCAGACGCGCTGCTCCTGCTTCTCAAAATGGAACCTTTTGCTGTGCCAAGATGCAAGTCAACCATTGACTTTGCATGTAAACTAGCTAGCTAGCTCTGCTGCTTGCAGTGTGAACATAGCATTAGAAATGACTCATAGGACAGCAGTGGTAATTGCTTTTATCTTGACGTTGTCAGTTGTCAACATAAATCCATCCATCCATCCATTTACTGACATGCTTATCCCTGCTGGAGTCGTGAGGGGTGATGGTGCCCATCCCCAGTTGTCAATGGGCAAGAGGCGGGGTACACCCCGGAAAGGTCGGCGGTCTATCACAGGGCACAGAGACACACAGAACTAACAATTATTCACGCACACTTACACCTAAGTGTAAGTGTGCGTGAAGTGTGCGCACAATCAGGCTGAAAGTCAGGCCGATCAAAAACTTCTCACAAGACTGGAAAGTCGGCCCGACCTTTTTTTTCCACAGTGTCCTGTCTGGCAATGTGGCAATTAGAATAATTGTCTTGATGCCAAAAAGATCCCAACAGATTTTACTTTCACAACTGGAGCAGTAGGGCTATTGCCATAGTGTTCTGCTTGTTTTATACATATAAATTGCTTTATTTTAATTATGCAGGGAGTTTTACAGATTATATGGACACTGCAATGTAAGTAGAACAGGAAAGGAAAAACAG